GAGATAGACATGAGAAAAAATGAACAAGAATTGGATAGAACTAGAAAGGAAGGCCTAGGAGAGAGTGGGCTGGAGAATGCTGGTTGGCTTTCTATGCACCATTAGGAGTAACAGGCGTAAGTCAGTAATTTTCAACAATCAAGTGTATGAGCAAATCAATGATTGTTCTATAAGACTATTTTCTAAAATGATGATGTAATGAATGAATACCAAAGTTCATTTAATGATAATGTATAATCATTAAAATGGTATCATTCTTGTTGAAAGTATAGTAGTTTAAAAATACATACAAATTAATTAATGACGTTTTCAACCATAATGAATTTGCTTCAAAAACGACGAAAATATAACCGAATTAATGTTCTAAATAAACTTGACAGCATAAGCGGCTAAGACTATTGATTTATATGGTGATATTCAACGGTTTAGATTCTTCCGTTAAATCCTGAGTAATTGCCTTGATACTGAAGATGCCACGGATATAAGGAGTTTGACAACGCTTTAACCAGTAACACCTTCGAATATGAATCGCGCCCATTAAGTGAAATTAAACGACAGAAGCGAGGAGGTTCGAAGATATATTTGATAGGCTATCAATATATAGAGAATCATCTGATCTAATCTGGCTAGCGATTGCAGTAGATGTTGAGCACGGCGTTCCCATTTGCGATTTGGTGTGGATGCATGACCGAGCACCTTCAGCTAGGTGAATCCATTAAAACTAATATGGTCAACGTCCAATGTCGGAGACTTAGGGAGCTATTTATTTCGGGGATTTATTTACCGCTACAATATTATCTTCAGTTACGAAGTTGTAATATATTTAGATTATGGCTTGTAGTAGGATTCAAGATATTCGTTTCACTCCATTCAGTAATGTTCCTGCTATGATTATGACTTATTATATCTTCAATAGAAGTGAATATATCCTTATTTTTCCCTTCAAAATATATCATCTATTGATAAACATTCATTTATTGATTGATTACATTCAACTGAAACCTTCAATTTATTAATGTTATATATCAGTGACCTAGGACTAATTATACACCCACGTTTTGACCTCAATGAGAGTATATCTACTACAAATAATAATAACAACAACAAGTAAAAACCTTTTGTAAATCATTAAATCTTCTTTTATTGAAACGGTTTAGATAATTAAGAATAAAAATTTACCAAAATAATCATAATATATTACATTATGTATAGATATATAAAAAAAATTGTTTCTCTGATTATGAGAAGAGGCATCAGCCTCGTGACTTCCGAAGGAACTGGGCTTTCATCATGAGGCGTCATAACTCTTTTAAATGAAGACGTTCTAACTCTCAGGGTAGAGTTTAGATGATTTGAATTATTCTTTTTTCTGGTTAACGTTTTTTTTTAGTGAGTTAGCTTTCTACGAGATGAAGTCGCTAATTTCATGCTCAACCATACTCCTTGACATGGGCTTAGGACCGGCAGTAACTCTAGAAGGGCTACAGTCGGAGTTATGTATAGATATACTACTATTAATTGACAGATACAGTTGGATAAAAAACATATTTCCACCACTGTCATATTCGTTATAATAAAATCAAGTGAAGAGTTTAAACTTTTGTAAGTGTTGTATTGTGTTTGTTGGGGATGTTAAATCCCCAGAACTCGCTTGGTGAATACCTTATATTGTAATCTTATCTTAAAATTTTGAATTTTCTTGTTTTCCCGCCAAAAACCGCTCATTTTCACCTTCATGTTGTATCTTTCACTTGGGAGAATCTTAAATGCTATTGGTTCGTTGTATCTTTTAGTATGCTAATTTGTAACGCTTCCCAAGGACAATTTTATGCTATATATATAAGTTTGACTTGTGCCTGTTATTATTGCTCGTGCTTCTAGCTTACGGAATATACTTTCTCGTTCCAAGCTTGAACTTCTTCCTCTAGTTAGCGGGTCTGGAACGCATCAGAATAGCTAGTTTATTGGTTTTTGGTCACAGAGTCTTTGTTCCTTTCTCAGACTAGGGGAAGTCGTAATCGCTTCAAACATAGCACTGTTCTAAGCTGGATGATTCAATCATAAAGCTTTAATTGTCTTCCTAGATAGTATTATCAGTATATGAGATTGAATTAGTTATTTTACATAATTATACTGGTAAGCTAGAAAATTTTTGATCATCTCAAAAACGTTTGGAATTACTGATGAAAGTTAATACAACTTTTATGATAACAATCATTTTTTTAATCGGTTGATTCAATTTCGAAAGATTTCTGCATTTACTTTAACTCTACCAGTTGTATTCAACATTCAATGTTATTAAATCTGAATATGATATTAATTCTATATGTTTTAGCGTATATTTTGTTTATTGAGAATTTAAATGCATACACTGAGATATTATTTGAAGAATATTTTGATTAAAGGGTTTGTGTATGTTAGTGTGATTTATTAGCTGCATTCGTTGTAGACTGACATTAGTTAGGATATAACTGAGAACCAAGGAGCAATGGACAACTGATCTTCTGTTGGTATATAAAATATCGAGAGTGCTCTCCCACAACGACTCTAGAAACTTAACCCAGTGGGCAGTTAGCATATTATTTTTATAATATTGAGATGGAACCAAGCAGCTGACATTTCGAATTTCTGTCATTTCACAATACGACATAACGGTCGTTTATCGGTTTACAATTAGCATAATACCTAAAAGATTTGGGTTCAATTCACAGAGGGATAGTAGATACTGATTGCTGAAGCATCATATACTAGTTGAGGGATAAGTTTGCATCACTTCCTGGTTTTAAGAAGTAACCAAATAACAGTTTAATTCACGAATCAAGATAAGCTAGATCATCATCATTGAACACCTCGAAGTACTGAATGGCTGGTTCGGACCAGTTTGGGGAAACATCAGTAGTCCGCATACATGATCCCACACACGGAACTCAGATCCAGCACCTTTGGTCTTGCACGTGAGCACTTAATCTGTAGATCACTGAGTCAGTATTCAACGGTGTTAATGTCTAATTTCAATTGATCCATGATCTTGCTCAACCTTTCGTTCATGATCTGACGTGGATAACAGTCTCTACTCGACACAGATTGAACTCCACTGGTTACGACTTCTCATTAAAACACAAGGAAATTCGTTTTGAAGCTATTCACTATTGAACACATGATTATTAACAGTATGGGGATTTGTGAATATAGTAGTATTTTAACAGTTGAACTCACGAGTTTATTGAATAAGAAATAAATAAGTTAAATGTTGTTGTAAATACATCACACAAACAAACACTTAATTATGATCCATTTATCCCTTTTAAAACTATAAAGATAAGAAAGGAATGTGATAAAATAATGAACTCAATACGACTATTATTATTATTACTATTCGTGTTATGTAATTCACTTCAGTTATATAATATACCCTTGTGGGCCAGAATAATTTTACATTGGTTTTTAGGAGAACCAGACACCATCCGGACTTTCACGTGACAACCCAATGCCGTTTAGCAGGAGAACCAGATACCGTATAGGCTTTAACGCTACAATCTGAATAGTACAGCTGAATCCTGTGGCGCAACCACACAGGTACCAAGCACCCTGGTGGACCAATGTAATTCACTTACCAATTAGCAATCTATCCATTCAACTATGAGTATTGTTTCTATGTAATAAGAAACAATGATGTGATTCAATTGTTTAAACTAGAAAATAATAACCAGAAAACAGGGTTCGAACCTAAAAAACCCAATTTTATTTTTATTTTTATTTGAACATATATATTGGTACAGGAGTGCGCCAAATATATATGCGCCACACAATTTCAGTTCATTAATTGCGTGTGGGCCGCGATACTGCTCGGGTGCCCAGACCGAAGCAGATGGTTATCTTAGGGGGCCACACCCCGAGCCTTTGACCTAAAGGTCTAACCCACAAGGCAGTGGAGTATCGTAAGGAGATGCAGTCCCATGGAAGCCGGTGACCGAAAATTGGTTCATACGCTATTTGTTCCCACAGGATACTGGTGCCCATGTGCGCCATAGATTTGGAATCCGGTTAAAGTGCCGGACATTCGCTTTTCGTCCTCTCATTTTCGTAAACAACAGTAGTGCCACGAGAAGGCGGTGAGTAGGACTTCGCTGGCAGAGGCTGTATACGCGCTGCCGTGTGAGAGTATTCGAGAGGGAGGGCGAACTTACCCCGCTCTCGGCCATACCAAGGCATTTGGGGGCCAATATATATTGGGTGCATTATTATGTTTATTACATGATAACAATGAATAAATTTAACATATTTGAACAAAAAATTAAATAAAGTAACAAACAACAACAACAACAACAAAATAATGATCAATTGATTATGATAAAGAACAAAATAAAACTGAATAATAAACGATCAATACAATAACCTCATGTGTATAGAATTATTGATTGAATATTCATAAATTATTGATTCATTATTCATTGAATGATGATCAATTGTATCCATTCTATTTAACATCTATCATGATTTATTGATAAGTTATCATCATTTATAATTCTACGTATAGCTTTTCTAAAGTTACTGCCGATCCTGATCCCAATCCCAAGTAAAAGAGGAGGATTGAACATAGGGGTTAGTGAGTCCATCTCATAGAAAACTAACTCGCTAGAAAAAAAAGAACACAACGCTAACCATCATTTAGTTACGTTGATCATAAATACTTGGTTAATTTATTCTCTTTGTGACTAAGGTAATAATGAATTACATAATAATCCATAATCAATCCATAATCACACTATGTTAATGATACATGATTGTTTATTACATGGAATGAGAGAAAAACGAAATATGTTACTTATATTCTTCTTCTTCTTTTTCTTTTTTCTTCCTGTTTCTATGAATAAAAAGGACAATGATCCATTTGTGATTTAACAAAAAAAAAAGAAAGAAATGTGTCACCGTTCTTTACTAAACTTTTTCTTCTTTACCTGTCTCTATGTATATGTGTATAAATCTATTGTTGAATGTTTCTATTTTTGATTTAATGCAATATGAAGAAGAATTTGACTAGCTATCAATGGATTACGATAAGCTAGTAAGCCATTACGATTACAACATTTGGAAAGATTGACCGAGTTGACTGTCTATAAATAGGAGAGAAGAAAAAAAAGGTGTAGTGACAAGACAGAGAGAGAGAGAGAGAAAGTGAACGATTAAAAAAATAGTGACATTATGATTTACATCACGAACTGAGCTTCGTTAGACAACTGTTGATAATCAACGATAACTGATCTGTATGAATCTACAGCTTAGCCAGTGATTGAACTAAATACTTTCATGTCTCATGGCATTGAGTCACCTCCAATGAATTTGTGATATTGTGTAACTATCTTACAATATCATAAGTGGTTTTCAACTATACATAGAATATGAATGACCTATTCTGATTAATGCTTCTCAACAGAACTCTGGGAATTACTTCTCGAAGCTATTCATTTATGAGTACATGATATTTGTTCAGAAATTCATTAATTAAACTGTTTTATACAATTAATCCAATTAATATATTTGAAAGTGAAGATTTTTTTCGAGAATATACAATGAAAACTTGATAAAACTTATCAGTAATTGTTCTGTATCTTGATACAAGTAGAAGTGAAGTGACTTTACTTCTACCTGAAGTTTTTGATGATGATGTTGTTCAGAAGAACGATGAAAGCTCCACAACCGAACCACCCAGATCAGAGAATAAAACTCTATCAAAATAGAACTACACCTTATACATGTTTTTAAGGAACTTGAGAAAACGAAGTGATATGATGTATGTGTTTTCAGAACATCATTTAATGACATTTTCATGCTGTAAAAATGATCCAACTGAATTTATAACATTACAAATAAGGATCTATTCATCTATTTGTCTATATTGCTAAAGTATATATTAATCGTAAGGTAATTTTTGTAAATAAGATGTGATTAGCACTAGAATCGAAGATATCGCTTTTTGTTTTATATGAGATTTGTCAGTCAGATGTACTTTTATCTCAATATTAATATACACATGAATTCGTAAATCTAATGTCATACACTTCAAACACCCATCTCTTTAACTCTTGAGTTTAAATGATCACTGATTTATTTAATGGATATAAAGTTATTAGTAAGGGTTTATAGTTTCTTGTTGTTTTTTTTATAAAATTTACAATCAAAAGAAACACGGCGAGACTATAATTTATGGACGAGCCAATCAGATGCATTTGAGGGATTTCAAAGTCACAACGCCAATTTCAGTACCTGATGCTCACGTACGATCGGTTTACAGCGGAGTTTAGAGAAAACGTGACAATTGGGCGACTACGACAAATAGGACTAATAAGAAGTTCTTTTATATGTGATATGTGGTAATCAAATGACTTGTGGACCTTATGCAGAATACCATGATGTTGTTGTTTTTCGATGTAATATATGTTGGAGAAAGAACTCTGTTAGAATAGGATTATTTCGCTCTATCCAGAATGAGACTATGGCAAATTATGAAAATTGCTGAGAACTCTATAATAGAAGCACTAGTAACACTGGCTACAGTCGGGTACTACAATATATACGGATGATTAAAGAGCATACAGACACCTTTATAGACTTGGTTATGTGCATCGTGTCATTATTCATAAGTCACCTTTTGTGAACCTAAGAACCGGGGTACAAACAAACAATGTTGGAGCTACATGGTCGAGGCTGAGAGAGCTTTTACGACCTTATCATGGCTCCAGAGACCGACTATTATAGAGTCATATGGATGATTACCTCCACTGTATGCATTACGATTTTAGAACTTGTGAACCTCTTTATAACCTTGACAAATTTTTGAACTATGTAAAAGAAATGTATCTACTTTCGTTCTTTGGTTTTGTATAATACATTTTTCAATAGTTAAGATCATGAGTCAGTTGAAGGTAGACTACCATGGAAAATCTTAAAACACTGGACGGCCGTTTCATAGTATTGTGGGGCTCCTCAGTAGTGTGCATCCACGACCCCGCCTCGAACACAGGACCTATCAGTCTCGCGCGCGAACGCTTAATCACTAGACCACTGAGACAGCTGGCATCCAACGGACAGTACTAATGCCCAACTTCAATTAATCCGTAAAATTAAGCGACACATCTACCATTGTCATCAGTGAGTTACTATCTCACAGCAGACCTGATTGAACTCCACTGGTTAAAACTTCTCACTAAAACTCCAGGAAATACTTCTTGAAGCCAGTCACTAGTGAGCATATGTTAATTCATATCAGAAGGGGTTTTTTGTGGATATTATAGTAATTTCAGTGGTTGAGATTATGAATTAATCGAAGCTAGACCACCATGGAGAACCTGAAAGCACTGGATAAGTCCTGGGTTCGAATCTCGCGGGGAGCGAGATTGTGAATGTGTACTGTTGAGGAGTCTGACAATAGAACGAAACAGCCGTTCAGTGCTTCCAGGTTTCTTATGATGATCTAACTTCAATGGACTCATGATCTCAACCAATGAAAATAATAACAATAATGATAATAAGAACAAAAAACAAACAAACAAACAAACAAATTTACTTGTATCTCTTCTGATGATTTTATAATATTGTAATTAATTTGATATTTATGTAAATCATTCATTATTAATTGAATAATTAGATTGTAATTATTTGATAATTGTTTTTGTAATAATAATAATTTAATAGAATTTAATGCATATTTTAATTGAATAATACCACCACCTAATGAATTCATGATTGTATGTGGTCCACATGTATCCCATATAAATGTATTTGGCTAATTATAATAAAGAATAATATAGATGTTAAATAAATAGTTTTAATAATATCATTGTCAATATATAATTCATGTTAATAGAATGTAAGGGAATTTACCCATTGAGGTTTAAGACTGTAATTGATCAGTTTGTTATTGGCATACATGTACATACTGTACGTATTGCCTCGATATAGCCTTAATTTATAAGCTTTAGAAGTAAAGATGGATAGTGGCTAGTAGTGGAATCCAGTTTGATGCACGTTTCGTCCTATTTGGGACTCATCAACTGAATCTACCTGCATCTCAGAGTTGATGTTCACTCCGGGACTCGAACCAAATACTATCCACTTCAAATGCCATCGTGTTATCCACTCAGCTACTGGGTCCTGATAACCACTTGCTTGTGCAATGGAGTGAATTTTAAATTCACTCGATATTGTTTTGCTTGAATCTATCCATTGAGGTTTAAGACTGTAATTGATCAGTCTGTTATTGGCATATGTGCACATACTGTACGTATTGCCTCGGTATAGCCTTAATTTACAAGTTTTACAAGCAAAGATGGATAGTGGCTAGTAGTGGAATCCAGTTTGATGCACGTTTCATTCAATTTACTTATATTATATTTGTAATGTGAAAAGTGGAAATGTTAAAATGATTGAATCTTTGTTTGATTATCAATTTTATGCTAGTATATACTTATTAGTAAGAGATATATCTTTAATCTTACAATGGTTGATTTATTTTGTATTGTTTGATTATTTATTGTAAATATCTCAATTATACAGGAGATCAATGTAAAACTGAATAGCTAAGTAGTAACATCTCTGACTGAGTGAAGTTTTGGAATGTTGATTATTGAAAAACTACGAGGATATATTACTATAAAATATCAACTCGTATGAAATATAGGTCTAATCTTCTGTCACTTGTTTTCAGTTGTCTAATATCAAAATATAGTACAAGTGATAAAGGTTTATATTGTAACTTGGTCAGTAGAATTATAGGATTTAGGCAAACAAGCCGTTCATTGCCATTTAGCGATTGGTCCCTATGCATCTGGAGATATTATTTAGCTATTCAAACTAAAATGGATGGGATAAAAATTGAACTTCTACATCTATGAGTGAAAATTTAGTGTTTGTAATCCCTTAACCTAACGGAGATGATGTGATAAAACCAATTGCCTCTAGAGATCTAGAGGTCAAGCGTTCGCGTGGTAGACCGAAGGTTCTGAGTTAGAGTTCCACATGCGGAATCGTGGGTGCAAACTGCTGAAGAGTCCCATACTGGGACGAAACGGCAGTTCAGTACTTCCAGGTTTTCAATGGTGGTCTAACATTGATCGATTCATGATCACAATCAAAATTATCTCTGAATAAGAACATCAAATGGATTCAAAATGAAAGATTTGATAGCAAAGACTGTTAAGTGAAAACTATCAGCGAACATGTTTTTTTAATTATTATTATTATTATTATTATTATTATTATTATTATTATTATTAATGGCCTTGTTCAATATTATATTAGTAAGAATCTAAAAATAACTCCGCCTGGAGTCCCTCCGGGGGCTACTGCCGGTCCCAAGCCCGGATAAAGGAGGAGGGTTGGGCATGGGGTTAGCGTCCCCATCCCGTAGAAAACTAACTCGCTAAAAAAACGCTAACCAGAAAAAATTATTCAAACCTTTTAAACTCTGCCCTGGGAGTCAGAAGGTCTTCATTTAGAAGAATTATGACGCCTCATGATGAAAGCCGAATTCCTTCGGAAGTTACGAGGCCGATGCCCCTTCTGACAACCAGAGCAACCATTTATTTAGGTACATGGAATGTTCGTACAATGTGGGACACCGGAAGAGCCTTCCAAATTGCTGCAGAAATGAGAAGATACAACCTAGAGGTACTTGGGATCAGTGAAACACATTGGACACAAGTTGGACAACAACGACTAACTACAGGAGAGCTCCTGTTATACTCCGGCCATGAAGAAGAAAATGCACCACATACACAAGGAGTTGCATTGATGCTGTCCAAACAAGCGCAAAATGCACTTATAGGATGGGAATCTCATGGACCAAGGATCATCAAAGCCTCCTTCAAAACAAAGAAAGAGGGCATTTCAATGAACATCATCCAATGCTATGCGCCTACCAACGACTACAATGAAGACGCTAAAGATCAATTCTACAATAGGCTGCAGTCAATCGTCGAGAAGTGCCCAACAAAGGACCTGACCATTCTGATGGGAGATTTCAACGCCAAGGTTGGAACGGACAACACTGGATATGAAGACATCATGGGACGACACGGACTGGGAGAAAGAAACGAAAATGGTGAGAGATTTGCAAATCTATGTGCCTTCAATAAGCTGGTCATAGGCGGCACCGTATTCCCACATAAACGCATACACAAAACCACATGGACTTCACCGGATCACTCTACACAAAAGCAAATCGACCATATTTGCATCAACAAAACGTTCAGGAGGACTATAGAGGACGTGAGAACCAAGAGAGGAGCTGATATAGCATCAGATCATCACTTACTGGTCGCCAAGATGAAATTGAAACTCAAGAAGCACTGGACAACGGGGCAGACAGTATCACAAAAGTTCAATACGGCCTTTCTTCAGGATACTAACAAACTCAACAAATTCAAGATAGTCCTCAGCAACAAGTTCCAGGCCTTTCATGATCTACTCAATGGAGAAGGAACTACTGTGGAGAGCAACTGGAAGGGGATCAAAGAGGCAATCACTTCAACATGTCATGAGGTCCTGGGTCACAAGAAGCACCACCACAAGGAATGGATCACTGTTGATACACTGGATAAGATTCAAGAAAGAAGAAACAAGAAGGCAGCGATCAATACCAGCCGAACAAGAGCAGAAAAAGCTAAGGCACAAGCTGAATACACGGAAATAAACAAACAAGTGAAAAGGAGCATCAGAACCGACAAACGTAAATATGTGGAAGATTTAGCAACGACGGCGGAAAAGGCTTCAAGAGAAGGAAACATGAGACAATTGTATGACACGACAAAGAAGCTCTCTGGAAATCGCCGCAAACCAGAACGACCAGTGAAAAGCAAGGAAGGCAAGGTAATCACCCACATTGAAGAGCAACAAAACAGGTGGATAGAACACTTCAAAGAACTCTTGAATCGACCAGCGCCACTGAACCCACCCAACATCGAAGCAGCACCCACGGACCTCCCAATCAATGTTGGCTCACCAACAATTGAAGAAATCAGCATGGCCATCAGGCAAATCAAGAGTGGCAAAGCAGCAGGACCGGACAACATCCCGGCAGAGGCACTAAAAGCAGACGTAGCGGCAACTGCAAGGATACTCCACATTCTCTTCAATAAGATTTGGGATGAGGAACAAGTACCAACAGACTGGAAAGAAGGACTTCTGATCAAAATACCGAAGAAAGGCGATCTCAGCAAGTGTGATAACTACAGAGGCATCACTCTTCTCTCAATACCGGGAAAAGTCTTCAACAGGGTATTGTTAAACAGGATGAAGGACTGCGTAGACGCCCAACTTCGAGACCAACAGGCAGGATTCCGTAAGGATAAATCGTGTACAGACCGAATCGCAACACTACGGATCATTCTGGAACAATCAATTGAATGGAATTCATCACTCTACATCAACTTCATTGACTACGAAAAGGCATTTGACAGCGTGGACAGAACAACACTATGGAAACTTCTTCGACACTACGGCGTGCCTCAGAAGATAGTCAATATCATACAGAACTCATATGATGGATTACACTGCAAAATTGTGCATGGAGGACAGTTGACAAAGTCGTTCGAAGTGAAGACCGGTGTTAGGCAAGGTTGCTTACTCTCACCGTTTCTCTTTCTCCTGGTGATCGACTGGATCATGAAGACGTCAACGTCTGAAGGAAAGCGCGGGATACAATGGACATCTAAGATGCAGTTGGATGATCTAGACTTCGCAGACGATCTGGCCCTTCTATCCCACACGCAACAACAGATGCAGGAGAAGACAAACAGCGTGGCAGCAGCCTCAGCAGCAATAGGTCTCAACATACACAAAGGGAAAAGCAGGATTCTCCGATACAACACAGCATGCACCAATCCAATCACAATTGACAGAGAAGATTTGGAAGATGTAAAAACCTTTACATATTTGGGCAGCATCATTGATGAACAGGGTGGATCTGATGCAGATGTGAAGGCGCGGATCGGCAAAGCAAGAGCAGCATATTTACAACTGAAGAACACCTGGAGCTCAAAGCAACTGTCAACCAACACCAAGGTCAGGATTTTCAATACAAATGTCAAGACAGTTCTACTGTATGGGGCAGAAACCTGGAGAACTACAAAAGCCATCATCCAGAAAATACAGGTGTTTATTAACAGTTGTCTACGCAAAATACTTCAGATCCGTTGACCAGACACTATTAGCAACAACGTACTGTGGGAGAGAACAAACCAGATCCCAGTGGAGGAAGAAATCAGGAAGAAGCGCTGGAAGTGGATAGGACACACATTGAGGAAAGCACCGAACCGCGTCACAAGACAAGCCCTCACATGGAATCCTGAAGGTCAACGGAAAAGAGGAAGACCAAAGAACACATTACGCCGAGAACTGGAGATAGACATGAGAATAATGAACAAGAATTGGATGGAACTAGAAAAGAAGGCCCAGGACAGAGTGGGTTGGAGAATGCTGGTCAGCGGCCTATGCTCCATTGGGAGTAACAGGCGTAAGTAAGTAAGTAAGTAAGAATCTAAAAATGGACGAAATTCACTTGGTCTTAAGTATTGTCTGGGTATACTTAAACTAAAGAAATAAAACCAATACAGAACAGATCATAAGATCTACTAATTCCGTTTTAAGTACGACGCAATTATGTGAGAAAAAAGTCAGTGTTTTGGACTTCGATCAATTCTCAGTGTGATACGACAATGACTACGCATCACTGCTAATTATTGAACGAACTATCTACTAAGTTGACGCCATAGTTCACAACTCCACATTGAAACTTCATAAAATTTTTCTGAAAACGAGGTTTCGTTCTATGTATGGGGTTGTGGATGTTTATCATGAATAAGTTCTTTATTTTAATAATTATCCAACTGAAGTTCTTTTATAATGTAAACTGTAAAATATGATAATTATATTTGTGTTTTTCCTGAATGCTCTGGATTTGAAGAAGATATAAATGAGTAAAATTCTATGATATTGATATTTCTTCTCCATTTGAAATCAGTAAATGTAAGTTATTAAGTAAAACAGAACTTGATACCTTGTAGAGGAATAGATTGTTGATAAACATTCTTTAACCAAAAAAAAATTGTAGTCTGATACAAATCAAAACTTGTATTTTGTCTCTCTATCAAGAGTTTTTGATAGACAAACAATGAAATGTGATGTAGCTTTCATGATAAATGAAGCGATTGATTTGTCAAACTTATTCATTGTTTATTATGAAAATGTGCATCAGTATAGACCACCCATCGTGTGTCATGAGTTGGATAAGTTTGGAATGATTTCCTATTATTCCTAAAATATTGCTAGTCTATTGGAAATTTGACGCTAGAAGCATGAATGCTATCTCAACACACAAAGAAGACGCTGGTCTAATTTTTCTTTCTCTAATGTGAACTCGTCCATCACAAACTGAAGACGTAGCTTTTGTTCTAAATATCCTATTTTACCAATGAGATCGAAGCAACCAGTTATCATTACTGTTTATCAGTTGAAAGTAATCGTCCAAACAATCCCGCTAATTGTTCATTCACATCATATCCTTAAAGCGCCGTATATATCTAATACTAACATGTATAATGTATGCATAACCACCATCTATCTCGACGTTTAATGGCAGGTGATATAGAAGTTAGTTTAAAGGAAACCAGAGGTGGGGAAAACAGAATGTGCTGTCGCTACACAAAGTCCTTAACTACCGAACTGAGACGTATTCGTAAGTGCGAACCCGAAGATTATTGTAGCCAGTGGTTCCAGACGTTGAGTGATATGGTTCATAATCAGTTACAAGTGAGCAGATGGATTCTGTCTTTGTCTTCTCTTAGGTCTTAAAAATATTTTCCAAATTTTATTTCATAAATCAATCCTTTCTTGTTGAATTACATTGTCTATGCCCAATGTTTTTTATAAACGCTAACGCTGTTACTCCTTCTACTACTTTGGAATTTGTCTTGAAAAAAAATTCATCTCACAATGTTGATATGATGTATAAACTTAAATCGATGTACATAAATGTCACATTCTACTTCTCTAATCACTAACCAACTAATTGACTATTTTACGACATTACGATGAAAGACAAGAGTAAATTATGAAAATGTGATTAAAACTACTTACTTCCATTAAAATAAATGCGTCCACTTGATCTAATATTACACATAATTGCTTAAAACCAGCTCCGGATGATGACAAAAACACAACATTGACTAAATCTTGATTGGCATCTTTATAGTCTAAACAATAATAATAGTAAGAATAATAATAAATGGAAACAATATAAATGCAACATTGAACATTGAATTAATATGAGGATATAATGGAAGAGTTTTAACGTTGGTTTATTCATTACAAATAATATCCATAAAGGATTGTGTAACTTCTTCAACAATTAGAGAACTAGGTGATCCCATAACCACATCTGTTTGTCTGTATCAGTCTCCTTGTGAGGCCCGTAATTTTGTCCTCATTTAGATCAACCGACGTTGTCGAAAGGGCTCTCCACTTTAGTGGCCCGAGATCTGACTCCAAGGTGATTGTAATGATGATTGTTGTTGAAATACATATGTTGCCCATCCTCGTATATAATCATCGACTTAAATCGCATTAGTCAATAACGGATTTAAATGAGTCGAATAACGAGAATGGATTTGTGAATACATCTATTTTGTATATAAGGCGAATGGAATAGAGATACGAGAAACGACGCAGAGTGGAGATGTATGGTAAGCCAACTCCCATTTAGACTAAGCGTTAACCAATATTTATGGTTACACAAAAGTAATTTACAGACATGTGATGAGTAATGGGATCAGAAGTGTACACACACATACGCGCTCATATAAAAACAGTCAAGATTGATAAGCAGATAATTAACAAGGTCAGAATATAACTCAAGTAGAATGAATGAAATGGTCTGTTCGAAAGCTAGAATAAGGTACATGGGCTTAACATAATAAACGACACTACATCGTCGAAAACTAAAAAAAAAATAGGTGGAACTTAAGCATAGATCTACAGTTTTAGTTATGTCTGAGGGAATCAATGAGTATTGTTACTTTAGTTCAGTTTCAGAACTTAAGAGATTATATACAATATTTAAAGTCTTCTTAACAGGAACATTAATGAACAAAGAGTAAACATAAAAAAGGTTGACATCAGTTTATTTTCTTCCATATGAACAGTAGTGATAATGTCGTTGAATTCACTAGAATTTTTTATTCCGAATTTGATTTTAATTTCATATGGTTTAAGAATATTAGATAGATATTTAATAAGACTGAACATAGATAAATTAGTATAATTAACTACTGTTTATAATGGAACATCCGTTTAGTGAATTTTGATAGCCCATGAAATCTAAAAGAGCTGCAGCTTTTTGGTTATAGAGAAAATTATAGAGAAGGTCTTAGTTTAGATTTTAGAGTCTTGAGCATCAGAGGCGATATATATTCAATGAGATTTTTTTTCACTTGCCTCAGATCCAAACACATATACATACAACTATTATCTTAACATATCTCTACACACCAGATATCTCATATGCACGCACTGCAGAAAATTCTTACTTTTAATATTTTTAACATGATAGCATATAATGGACCGGAGAAACATGTACCTAGATATATTCGATAATTTTGATGTTTGATTATATTTTCTTGAAAATACTTGAACCAGATCACCGAGCGAAATATTAGATTTACTTAAAATTCAATCACTGAGAATTTACAAATATAATTTGTCTCAATGTCTTATGCATCACACAAATCTCATTCGATATGTGTGAGGGCTGTGATACTGCCAGGGTGCCCAAACCGAAGCAGGTGGTTTTCTTAGGGGACCACTCCCCGAGCCTTCGACCTGAAGGTTTGATCCACAAGGCAGTGGAACATCGTAAGGAGATGCAGTCCCATGGAAGCCGGTGGCCAATAACTGGTTCATACGCCATTTGTTCCCTCAGGATACTGGAGCCCTTGTAGAGCATTGGTTTGGAGTCAGGGTTTTCCAACTCCTCTAGGTGGACTCCCCATGTCCATCAACCCGGTTAATGCGCCGGACATTCTCTTTTCGTCCTCTCAATTTTGTAAACAACAATAGTGCCACGAGAAGGCAGTGGGTAGGACTTCGCTGGCAGAGGCTATATACGCGTGGCCATGTTAGGGCATTACGAGAGGGAGAGCGGACTCTCCCCACTCTCGGCAGTACCAAGACATTAACTCAGTACCCAACTACTATGAACCTATTCGTTCAGATTTAGACGAAAGTTCTTATAGACAAGGAAACAATTAGAGTCCAAATATTATCATTATTTCATCCTTTTTAAAATGAATGGCATTTCGATTATATGAATCCTGAATATACAAGCAATTGAAAATGTTATACATGTAAGTATCCACATGCATCATAAGGCAAGCCATAACTTGAAATACTAAAAGGAAGCGGAAAAGCGGAAGGCTAAAGAACACACTACGTCGGGAAATAGAAGCAGATATGAAAAGGATGAATAACAACTGGAAACAAGTGGAAAGTATTGTTTAGGACAGGGTTGAATGAAGAGTGCTGGTGGGCGACTTTTTCTCCTCGACGTGGAGTAACAGGCGTAAGTAAGTAAGTAAGTACATTATCAACAACAAATCAATTTGTAGGTTGTATTTGTTATATCCGAGCGAAGATTAAATCACAAGTAACTTCTAAGACCTTTTAATGGACTAATATTATCTATACATTCTTATGGTATAACTATTCAATAATTAGATTATGTATATTTATATTCCACTTATTATAAGCTTTATTTTGACCTATAATTTATTATTGTACGATTTACGGTTCTTAAATTAGGTTCAGTTTATTGACTACTGCCTCCCATGTTCACAGTCACTTTTTGGCTTTATTGTGTAGAAATGTTATTTTCTATTTTATGGTGCGTTGCGATCTGTTTGGTTGATATATAAACCCAGTATGTCTGAAATAAATGACTCGATTCGATTCGCATAGTGGAAGCTGGTATTGCTGTTCTGGACTCAAGTGGACGGGCTAAGCGGACATCGGACCAATAAGGACGCTAGGCTGCCCATACCGGTTGAACGTCATTGGTTTTGGCACAGTTGCGAAGATTGTATAGGTCATATTTTGATTAGTAGATAAATCACGTGATAAAAAGCCGGAAATAAAGTCAAAACAGTATTCATCAAAGATTGATATTAATTAAGATACTATTGAGATAGAGAAAGTAGTAGCTCCTTATTGCATCCAAGTATACAATAAAATACTATTGAAAATTGTAATAAAATTAATCACTGATATTAAGTATAAACTTACTATGGAATAAATTAGTTAAACGACTAAATTCTACAGAACTACAAGCAAGTTTTAAAATTGGTTTCTCTTCATTGAATACACGATCTGGACAAAGTACATCAAAAAAATTATCTGGAAAATGTAGATATTTAGGTAAATTTAAATTATCCAAAGGATTCAATAAAGCTGATTTAGAACAATTATTTGAATATTTAGTAATAGGTAAAGAATTTCCAGAATCAATAATATTGAAACCCCAAAATATTCTTCCATAATTATATAATGAACTAAATATATAATGATAAAATAAAAAAAAAGATGAAAAGTTAATTGAATTTAAGTAATATTATATACATTGAGATCACTTAAATGGTATGAATATTAATTTGATATTATTATATGATCCAAAGTTGACGTCTCAAATTTTAAAAGTAAATGACATGGGTTCGAACCTCACAGTGAGCATCATTTTCCTCAAGATTGAAGATACACTTTACTGACAAGTGGCAATTAGCATGGAAGCTATGTTGTACAGAATTCTTTATCGACTACCTTCAGTCATGTAAAACAAACATATTATTATTTGTCAGTCAGTTAATTGGTTGCTGGTGAGCGGCCTATGCTCCTTCACGAGGAGTAATACATTTTTATTTAGTTTAACACGTAAAAATTGGTACAATGAGGCACCAAATACATATGCGCCAAACAAATCTCATTCGATGTGTGAGGGCTGTGATACTGCTCGGGTGCCCAAACTGAACTAGGTGGATTTCTTAGGGGACCACTCCCCGAGCCTTCGACCTGAACGTCTGATCCACAAGGTAGTGGAGCATCGTAACGAGATGAAGTCCCATGGAAGCCGGTGATCAACAATTGGTTCATACGCCATTTGTTCCCTCAGGATACTGGAGCCCATGTGCATCATTGATTTGGTTTGGAATCCCGTTAAAGTGCCGGACAGGCGTAAGTAAGTAAGTAGGTAAGTAAGTAAGATCCTAAGTTAAATAGTTTATAAAGTTGTTCATTACACAGTAAGTTAAATGAAATTCGACTTATTGGTATAAAAGTAACATGTTGACAGAAAGAAACTGAAAGTTCTGAGTATTATGGTTATAAATTCAGAGTTCAAAATGGAAATTATATTTCAATCAAATTCATTCTAAGAAATCATTATAATAAGAACTCACTGACTGATAAATAATAATGTTTGTTCTACATAACTAGAGGTATTCAATAAAGAATTCTATACGACATAGTTTCCATGCTAATTGGCACTCGTCAGTAAAGTGTATCTTCAATCTTGAGGAAAGTGATGCTCACTGTGAGATTCGAATTCATGTCATTTACTTTTAAAATCTGAGACGCTATCACTTATGTATTCTAACGTTGACTGATCTCCTGAATGCTATCTGCTGACTATCTTCAATCACTTAATAACCTAAGATAATTTCTAGTTGTTAACATAGGAACTAACCAATTCAAAAATAACAGTATGCTAATCAATATTGATCATAGTAAGAATAATTACTTACAACGAACAAATTCTTCATAAACTTTGCATAAAAGTTATATTAAACAAAAAGGAAAACTTATCATTACACTTATTTACGTAGTATCAATCATTAACAAATAAAGGCCATACATTAAGAACCCTTCGAATTCATTCATTATTTAACATCAGTGAGTAAAACGGTATAATCAATAGGCTATTAGAGTTTTTCGGTTTTAAATCTGATCATAAAATGAAATTTATTTAAGAGAATTATTATCGAAATCATTAGAAGAAAAAGTAGCTATGAAGTTTTAGTTAGTTGCTGTGGATGAAATAACCAAATGAACTACAATTAACATACAATATACAATTTATTAGTGTAAGGATTACTGTAGTTGTACAATTTGAATTAAAGGTATTCAGTTATCATACATGATTGAATACTGGCTCTCGATAAAGATAATATACTGGTGGTAAAGTTAAAATTCATTGATGTATATTTGACACAATTTGGGAAAAGTTATCTAATTCTATCTGAAAGGGTTAACATTTTTTCGTAGTTGATATGAAAGACATTATTTATTCAGACGTTATTGATATACGTGCATCCTAAACATCAATACTGAAGTGCAGACACATCCAGCTGACGTATTTCGAACAGGATAAAAGGAGCGTCCTAGATTCCACTGCTAACCATAATTCATCTGTTCAACTTAACACATATCAGAATGATCCGCACAGAATACACACAGAGTAACTATAGCCGATCAAAATTTAGTTTTAAATATCAACAATGTTGAATAGAATGAAATCTGTAAGTTGTATTCCTCTTGTTAATTGATATGTAACATACATTATTGATATACAACCTGTTACAAAAAATGATATATTTCACAATGGTGTTTTTTGATGTAATGACTTATCAAACTTATCCTCATTAAGGTATAAATCTTCTAAATCATCGTAAATTCAACAATAATAAAAAAATAATTTCATCAGACATGAATGCAAAATGTATCCACTAAAATAAAATAGATCCTGAATGAAATAAATATGATTCTGGTGTAAGTGCCAAAGCAGCTACATTGGCCGAACAGAAAGGAGGGTAATATCTTAGATTTTTTTGAAGATATTCCAAAAAGTCCCAAAAAAAGAGATAGAACGACCAAACATCGCCTTGATGCAGGACATCTGGTAGATATGTTGCAATTCTTTAAGGTGATTAGTAAGCAGACAAACTCTAGTCTTCTGAAGTTTGCTGAATCCGTCGCTATCAGACGCCAAAAACTTGATTTATGTGTTCAAAAAGAGATAGTTATTAATCTTTCCTTACCTTGGTGACAAATATTCTTTCGCTGCATCAACTGATCTGTACTCATTATATTCCTGTCAATGTTTACTTATTATGTAACCACTTGTTCATAGCTGTTTGGACTGTTGTCATAATCAATGTTGTAGAATGTTCTTTTACATAAGGTATATATATTTACAATATTCAGTCTATTCAATTTATTTATACCCTTGTTATACTATACGAATATGTCTTCAATATAACTTCCAACCAAACTCTTTTATTTAAGTCATTTAAACCCATTATGTAATTATGATTCTTAAATATCACAGGTTGTAAGCAGCTGACGAGAACCGGACGAAATCAAAATGAATTCATGCTATTCTACTAGAATCTTTGTTTTTATTCTTGCTCTTTTCAAGATTATATCAGTTGTGGCTCAGTTTATTCTAAATATTATACAAGAGATGTACTAAAAGGTATAATGTATTAAACTCCACAAATACCATAATCAGATAGCCTAGTTGATACAGATGAATTGTTAGTAACTTAATAGATCATTACCAAATTAAAGAATGTCCACTTTTATTCTGTTTCAAACATATTCTTAATCAATTGAGAATATCTTACCTAGTATGCAATCACATCATCTCAGTTGATAAAAATGTTAGATTCCAACTATAATCAATGTACCATTTTTTACACAATACTCAATGCTTAGCATTAGAATTATGAACTGGTAAAGTTTTATTAAACATCTACTAAATCATAATAAGATCATTTGTCTATATTAAGGAACTTAATCATATAAGATTACTGATAGTTACCGGATACTGATCTAATCTACATTCAATTAGCTTAAAATCAATGATTGTAACCAATAATTCATTAGAACAACACATATAAGCGAACAATATTGTTTTCAATTAGATCGTCATCAGGCTTTACTCTAATATACATGAATATTTATACGAAAATTTTAAACCAATCCACGCAATATGGGTCAACAATCACAGTGAAATAGAATAAGTCACTACACATATTAGGTAAGAGTACAAGTGTATAGTAGGAATAGAGGTGTACTGATAGTAGTTAGAATAATAAAATAAACTACAATAAAAAAACTCTTATCAACAGTTAAACATTGGAAATAGAAGGTCAAACGTGGGTAAATAGAATTACAATAGTCATCACAAAACATTAAAACCATCATGTAATAAGAAGTGAGTAAATAATTAGACAGTGAAGAATACAAACGGAAAAAGGAGGAAAGTTACAGACAAATAATGGATGTGAAAATAAGGTTAATGATGACAAAAATAGAATGAAATAAATAAATAATAATAATAATTTAAAAAATCGTTAGTTAAGTTATAACTGGCCATGGAAGGGATAGGGGGGTTACGAATTTCTTCTGTACACATAAATTGAGGTTATCTGTACGAATTTCAATGGCTTCAGCTATATGTAGGAGACAGGAAGGAACTCCGTTCGAAAATGATGGAGGTATACGATAGATCACTCGAAATGTTTTCGATTTATCTACAGTATCATCGTTATCTACGTTGTTTACGCAAAATACTTCAGATCCGTTGACCAGACACTATAAGCAACAACCAACTGTGGGAGAGAACAAACCAGATCCCAGTGGAGGAAGAAATCAGGAAGAATTGCTGGAAGCGGATAGGACACACACTGAAGAAAGCACCCAACTGCGTCACAAGACAAGCCTTCACATGAAATCCTCAAGGCCAAAGGAAAAGAGGAAGACCAAACAACACATTACTTCGAGAAATGGAGATAGATATGAGAAGAATGAACAAGAATTGGATGGAATTAGAAAAGAAGGCCCAAGATAGAGTGGTTCGAGGAATGCTGGTCGGCTTTCTATGCTCCATTTGGAGTAACAGGCGTAAGTAATTAAGTATGATCGTTATCAATAAGATGTGCCAAGATAGAACTGACCCTTTATAAACCAAGCTAGTAGATGTTCACTCATTCGTTGGTTAAGTTGCCTGGTAGTATACCCGATATAGCGATCTTCACAGGAACAGCTGAATTTGTGATTATTGATTATTGGTTTAACATTTTCGTATAAATATTCCATGTATATTTTAAAGGAAAGCCTGATGACGATCTAATGATAAACAATTGTTCGCTTACATATATTGTTCTAATTTTCACAATAGGAATCTTTAATAATTCAATAATCAATTAATTAATCATAAATAATAAATCAAACAATAATAATAATAATAATTACTATTATTATTATTATAAATCTTACTTTATTTCATCAGTTGATAAATGATTATCATTATTAGGTGAATTGATAATATTATTTAAATAGAATGGTTGATTTATAACACCAATTAATGGTAAACCATTTGAATAATCAAATAAACCTAATAAAATTGTAACATTAATAAGACTACCATGATAGAACCGTATTAAACTTGTTGGATTATCAAAAAAATGATTAATTTGATTTAGATTATCTAATTCTATACCAGATAAATGAGTAGATGATGAATTAGTTGAAGTAAAATGAAATTTATCAAACTGATCTTGAACATAATCAGCTGTTGAGTCTATAGAAAGAAAAAAAACGGTCAAAGAAAAAAAAATGAGAACAGTATAAATACAAATAAAAGATATTAATGAACAGTATCAGAAGGGATTTTGTGGAGATTGTAGTAATTCCAATAATTGAAATCATGAGTCGATTGAAGCTAGACGACTATGGAAAGCCTGAAAGCACTAGACGGCCGTTTCATCCTAGTATGACATTAATCAGCAGTGCGCACTCACGATCACACCTGGCGAAATTCGAACTCAGGGCCTATCAGGACTGTCGGTTGTGAGATAGTAGCCTACTGAAGACAATGGTAGACGGTGGCGCAATTTCATGAATTGCTTGAAGATAGATATTAATACCGTTGGATGCCAGCCGGCTCAGTGGTCTAGTGGTTAAGCGCTCGCGTGCGAGACTGATAGGCCCTGGGTTTGAATCCCCTGAGGCGAGGTCGTGGACGCACATTGTTGAGGAGTCCCGTGATGTGACGAAACAGCCGTTCAGTGCTTCCAGGCTTTCCATAATGGTCTAGCTTCAAATGACCCATGATCTCAACTATTGAGATTAAATAAATGCTGTTCCGTAGATTACTTTAATAAATAACTTTCGATGGTGTATTTCATCTACTCTACTCTATATATTAACGTCTGGACATGAGTTCGTTCCGTTTTCATGTTTATAATAAAATCGATTCCTGGACATATATCATTTTAAGGTTTTAGTAGATAAGACATATAATGTAAATTTTTATGAACGGTAGAGTAAGAATAGATGGGTTGATCGCTCGTTGAGTAGAAGCATATATGGAAAGAGCTACTTTGTTTGCTAGTACACATCATTCTAGTTTCACTTTCATCCGCTACAAGAAAGTCTGATTATATATCTAATAAGGAGAGAAAAAAGATCTCAGATGATACCATAAAGAAGGAGTTGCAGTTTATTAATAACACCGATGGAGATCGGTTACACAGGAAATTTTTAAAAAACTACATGCATCTGCGGGAAATAAGCTGGGGATATTGACCACTCGAAAGAAATATCTATTCTTAAAAATACAATTCAACGGGGATGTGTTTAGATAATTCCGGTATTCTAGATTAGCGAGGGCAGCTAATATGACATTCTACGCAGCCAACCTTGAGTTGACATTTCCTTGTAGGCCAGTGATGTCTAACCAAGAAAAGGATAAGTTACCCAAGTTTGCCTCCTCACTGTGCATCTACTAATCCAGCTGCTCCTAGAGAGGTAGCTATATTAGGCCTACCATCAGGCGACTTAACCAACAAATAATTGAAAAGCTCCCACCTTGTTTTGGAAAGGGCAACACAAAAAAGAAACTCAGCTCTATTTTGGCAAACCTGATTGACAGTGGTTATATGGTGGATAAAAGTGAACCGTTTTGAGTGATCTGTCGTATACGTTTGTCATTACTCAATGGAGTTCTCCTACATACAGCAGAAGCTATAGGGATCTGAATCTAAAACCCTAAATTGTGTTCAGGAAAAAAATCGTAACTCATCTATCGCTTCTTGGGTCGGACATGACTTAATAAACGATTTCATTGATTTTCTCACATCCTGTATTTGTTTGTCATTTTTCACCTCTTTTCACTTCTATTCTTCACTATGTAATTATTTACACATTTCCTTTTATGTAATTTTAATGTTTTGTGATTATTATTATTATTATAAGTTTGTTTATTGAAGCTTGACCTACTTCCTATATTGAACTATTGCCCAGAATTTTTGTTATTTTCATCAATACTACTAGTACATCTGTCTTCTTTCTATCATTTTGTACTGTTTACCTGTTAATTTTAGTTATTCAATCTGTTTTATTGTGACCATTGATATATAGATTGTCTTGATTGGTTGAATATTTTCATATAAATATTTATGTATATAAGAATGAAGACTGATGACAATCTAACTGAAAACAATTTTGTTCATTGATATGTGTTTTTCTTATTTTCACAATGGGAATTATTAATATTTTAAGAACATTGTGTTTCATTAAATGAACAGTAAGGCTTTTTTCAATTTAAGAGTAATGATTAAGATATTTACCAACACAAATGAATATTGGTACTGAATGCCCCCAAATGACCGGGTACAGTTGAGGTTGGGGAGAGTAGGTGTTCCCTCTCCAAATACTCTCACATGGCCACGCGTATACGGTCACTGCCAGGGGAGTCCTACTCACGGCATTACTGGTGTTTACGAAATTGAGAGGACGGAAAGCGAATGTCCGGCGCTTTAACTGGATTAGTGGACACGGAGAGTCCACCTAGGTGAGTTGCAAAACCCTGATTCCAAATCAGTGGTGTACATGAGCTCCAGTATCCTGAAGGAATAAATGGCGTATGAACCAATCGCTGGTCACTGGCTACCATGGGACTCCATCTCCTTACAATACTCCACTGCCTTATGGATCAGACCTTTAGATCGTAGGCTCCGAGTTTGGCCCCCTAAGAAAACCACCTGCTTCTGTTTAGGCACCCGAGCAGTATCACAGCCCACACACAAATATAATGGTTTGTGTGGCACATATCTGTTTGATGCTCCTTTTTATCAATATTTATGTGTTCCAATAAATAAGTCATTAACGTAATGGTTACGACGACGGATGTTCAAAATATCAGTTACTGATCAAAAACTATGTATACTTTAATTAGTTTAGGCAACTAAACAGTGTTATGTCTCTTCAGATTTATTTAAACCTTACCATTTTATAATATATTTTGTTTAAATTCGAGTTTAGTGCATCCCATCAAATCGTTTGCCAAGCCCTCAAACACATTTTTTAAAAATTTATAATATTGATCTGGCTCTTCTATCTCACACACAACAACAAATGCAGGAGAAGACGACCAGTGTAGCAGCAGCCTCAACAGCAGTAGGTCTCAACATACACAAAGGAAAAAGTAATATTCTGCGATACAACACAGCATGCACCAATCGAATCACATTGGACGGAGAAGATTTGGAAGATGTAAAAGCCTATACATATCCGGGCAGCATGATTGATGAACACGGTGGATCTGATGCAGATGTGAAGGCGCGGATCGGCAAAGCAAGAGCAGCATATTTACAACTGAAGAACATCTGGAACTCAAAACAACTGTCAATCAACACCAAACGTAAAAGTTTCAAAACAAATGTCAAAACAGTTCTACTATATGGGGTGGAAACTTGGAGAACTACGAAAACCATCATCCAGAAAATACAGGTATTTATTAACAATTGTCTACGCGAAATACTTCAGATCGATTGGCCGGACACTATTAGCAACAACGTACTGTGGGAGAGAACAAACCAGATCCCAGTGGAGGAAGAAATCAGGAAGAAGCGCTGGAAGTGGATAGGACACACACTGAAGAAAGCACCCAACTGCGTCACAAGACAAGCCTTCACATGGAATCCTCAAGGCCAAAGGAAAAGAGGAAGACCAAACAACACATTACTTCGAGAAATGGAGATAGATATGAGAAGAATGAACAAGAATTGGATGGAATTAGAAAAGAAGGCCCAAGATAGAGTGGTTCGAGGAATGCTGGTCGGCTTTCTATGTATCTTTGGGAGTAACAGGCGTAAGTAAACAATAATATTGATAAAAAAATAATCCGTGATAGAAATTTTATCCTACTTAACCTCTACAAACTTTATTCTAGTCCATTTTAATGTTTCTAATAAAAAGAGAAATATTTTCAAACTAGAAAAAAAGACTTTTGATCTATGATAATTAACAATTGATTCATTAGTCTTTAGATTAAAACCAATAAGTTGATTAGTGAATTAAAATAACCATACATTTTATTTTGATCTATCTATCATTAGTTACTAATAACCTATAATATTTTAAAATTAAAATAAAGATTGAACATTAGAGTGCTTGGATAGATGAAGTATATTCGAAGTTAATATGCATAAGTTTCAGTATGGTGTAACAAGAATCTAGGTAATTTTCCTACATTATTTTCCTTTGATAAATTTAATTAGAGCAAGAATATCAACATTTGTAAAATAAAATGGATTCATCATATCGTTTCATGGAATCTTATTAATTGGTTGTAAATAGCCTGAAGTAATATTCGCAGTAAAGATCTGATGAAATTTAGTTAATGAAGTAATGATAGATGTTCTAAACATTAATAACCAAAAGATGAAGACCTAAGAGTATAGTGAAGGTTGACGTATATTGAAGAAGAAAATCGCTAGTCATACGAAATAAAGAAGATGAGTTTATAGTTACTGGCAGTTACAGTAACTGATTACGTAAGTAGTCGATATTTAGTTTATTTTAGTTCAGATGATCTTAGATGGTTCGAAGTAAATGATAACAAACCATGTATAACTTAAGTTTTGTACTAGCTGACATTCGTCAACAAGGTATACTCGGCGTTGTTGGAGAGCTGGTGCTCTATGTGGGATTCGAATCCGTATATTCAGCTTGATACTCTGAGACGCTACTGTAGTGCTACTTGAGTCACTCTAATTCTTTATTTATTTCAAATTTTTATAGATCATGATAATAAGTGTAGGTATTAACATCAAACAAGGCTAATTGATAACTTTTGATGTCTACATATTATGGATTGTGAACAGATGATGAGAAAAAAACATGATAAAGTGAAATAAACCGTTATATTCTTCTACTGATCGAACCATTATTAAGTCCTTTTCAAGTTAGTAGCACAAATCTGTTTATTAAACAAATAAGCCTTGTAAAATGCGCAATTTAAAAATCCCGGAGAAATAAACATAAACAAAACTGAACTATTTAGACGTTTTGGTATTTGGGTGGCTGTTGGATTCAAGACAAACATCTCATCTTATTTAGGCATTGGCAGAATGTACATAAACACCAGCATTTGTGTTCGTAAACCCTTTCTAAAAGTGGATTTTTCATGAAAACTTTATAAAAACAGTAGATTGAATGCAATTACACATACCTATTGGATCGATCCATACACCAAATGTTCCAATATCAGAATATTTTATATCGGTTATTTTAAATAGTGAATTACAATTGGAGATCAAATCTTCCCAAATATTACACACTGAAAATTGTGTCTGAAACGATTCTAGCGGTCGAAAACAAATTTCACTTAATTGATTTGCAAAATCTAAATCGTTGCCTAAAACATCAACTGAAAAATTAAAGATAAGAAATGAATCCGATTATACAGTCATAAATTTTAGCAAAAAATGTTATATAATGGTGTAAATAGCCGTTAATAGTTACAAGCATGTTTGTGCAATTACGATTTTTAAAGTGATGCATCTAGTAGAGAGTTAAATTCAAAGATTATGCAAAACAGATTTCCAATGAACATATAATATAGAAAAATTGCAAGTCTGAAAGTCAAGTATTCTATCTTTAGAGGAGTAACCGGTAAGTACCTCTGTGAAGAACCATTCTAAGATGAAGCAGCCATCTTTTTTCCTTTTGTTCTAAATCGTCTCAAGCCGAAGTGAAACTGGGGTATAAACTGGCCAGAAATTAAATAGCTCGTGCAAACTTGAAATTCTAAAGATAAAATGTGAGTTCAGAAGTCAGACAAGAAAATAAGAATCTAATATCAAATGATGTCTACCATTAAAGGCTTTTATGTAAAAGTGTACACGGCGAGAATTGGTCTAAACTGCACAAAACTAGCAAATTACTACTTTGTTCGTGAATAGCTGAGTTAGATGTAAACGATAATTATACTGCTACTGCACTTCGGTTTGTTCTATAGCATAATCCAAATAGCGTTTGACTTGCCAAAGAATTTTGCCGTTCAGCTACTTCATTGATTACTAAAATGAGGGCATGTCAGTGGTTAAAAAGCTATCATCAAAAATTTATTGATGCGTAGCATCTGTTTTGTATGCGTGCTCATCATTAACTATAATGAATACACGAAAAAATGCTTTCTCATTTCACAACCTTCATGAAAATGCAATAAAGAGAAAGCCACACTCTTACCTAAAAGATCAGCGAGATTTTCTCTAGAAGATAGTTGAATTGTCACTGTTTTACCGGAACTACCAGAAAAACGATTATTTTCTTCACCAAACACCGAATTGTTGAATCCAGGAAACTGAAAGTTTTAAAATTAATGTTTTGATAGTACTAGAAAGTTCTATCAAAATTTTTTGGTAAGATCAATATATAATGTTACAACGTCTAATAAACATAAAAATTGTGTAATAAAACTAAACTTTGCTTATGTAGATAAAAGAAAGATAAGCGACGATATCTTTCAGTTTTAGTTAATGCAGGAGCACTAGTATAACGGTCAAAGAGCTCGGCGTTAAATAATTAAGCTTAAGGTTTGAATCTTGCTCCATTCAATTTAGTTTGGAAAGTCATATAGCACTGAAAAGACCATATTTTATACTTTCTTTATTCTTCAACTTAGCTACTGAGTAATATCTGTTGTTTTGTATGGTTTAGTTATATATGCTTGCGTGCTTAGACTGTTCCTTGAACATACAACTTCCAATTAGCTCTTTGTTACATCTGAATTTCATCTTGAATAAACTGCAGCCACCAATCTCCAATTTTTCCCGACTTTGTTTCCTATTGCCGCTTATGATTACTGATCGAACTTTAGTTCGTTTAAATTTTCGGCTGTCTTTACTTTGCAGAGAATTTAAAGTTTGGCAGGATGAGTTTAGGAGCACTTATCAACTTGGCAGATGCCACCAAAATACATTGGTATTGCTTAGTGTTTTGGTTTAAGCCATAGGTGAATGTCATCAGTGTTTTCACAATTTCTCAAACACTATTTGAAGCTGCAATGGATTGGACATCACCTTCATGATCGACCAAGCGCTTCTATAGTTTCTCCTGTGATATACTCTTTGCGTTTCCGCTGCCAAGCTGAAGCATAGGTAAGAGGTGGAAAGATAAATGTAAGAACCCTAATAAAATATATGTTTACACTGATTATGTCACCGAGTAAGCAATGCCACATTATTGTGCAATAGATTAACTATGAAGTTTTTCATGAAAGAGGATAGATTCCCCAAACGTAAAAGCATAAGTAACTTAGACATTATATAATCGACACATAATCGAATCAAACTGGTTTAGACAGATTTGATCATGGAATAAGGGAAGTTTTATCATGGTAATAGCAAAGTAACAGTCATAAAGTAACTGCTCAACTTTCTAGAATAATAGCTAGATATCGGATAACCAGAAACGAAACTGAACGCTGATTACATCGTGGGTAATGATGAATGCATTTATTTTACAATAACCTGAAGAAAGTACTTTAATGTCAAAGATACAAAAAGGATAATAGGTGCTTGTTCCGTTTACAAAAACTCAGCTGTGCAAAAACCATTTCGAACGTATGCACTTTTAGAAGATCACTGCAAGTATTGTTGAAGGAGAGTGTGCAAGTTTTATAACAACTATTATTTAAGTGCGATATTTGTACTAACTGATGATTTCTTTGTACTTGATTGCGTGCTTATTACGAATCACAAAAATAATACGTCAATTTGTGTTCATCTAGTTCTACCTGCCTTAGATTGCACTATTTCGGGAATTTTTAGTCAGCATATGATTTCCAAATGCTGCTAATTATCGGAATAAATTTACACTATTCTTATAGGAAAAGTCATCCCTGTATATCTTTGAGTTGTTAATTAACTTTGGGATCTCTAGCTCAAAAAATGCTGTCCGGCTGTTCACTGCTTGAACTTTGGTTTGGAAATGTATCAAGGGGGAACAAAATCAAATACAGCGTTATCAGTGAGAATAACTTACAAGTAAATTTAGGTCGTACTTTACAACTTCTTGAATAACTACATCAGCCAAAGTTTTGACATCTACGCTAAATCTTAAATTAGCCTCAGTTGAATCTTTCACTTGAACAAGTGTTTGAAAGATACCAGTTTGTCTTTTAATTGTACGGGCTATTACGGCAGCTTTTTCGCTGCATAGAATTAAACTTTTTAACAACTGGACACACAATGGATCAGTTTTGTTCATTTAGTATATAACTTTGCTTAGCATTCCAGATAGATAACAGCAGTATATGGATATTAGCGAAGAATGTTTATAACAGAAAGCCTTCAGATCTTAAAATTTATTTTCGCTGGTATATAAACCATATCATAGCTTAGATCTAAAACTGAAATGGTAAATTCACTCATATAAGTTGGATAATGAATCGATTAACAAAATAAAAATAGAAACTCATTCTTTTCGTTTACACTAACCATATACCAGCTATCTGCGAAACGTGTTTACTGAGAATACAAACCTAACTAACGGCGCTTAAAAGTTTTTTTGCAACTGAATAACCTCCAAACTGAGTAGATATTTAACACTTTATTCTGAAATCGATAAGTTTAATGAAGAATACTGGCTAAAACACATAATAATTAACTAACATAATCACAGAATTGTACTGTGCACCGTTACGGTACTTGTCCATGTACAAAACCAGGGAATCTATGCTGTCTTTAGAAAAACTTCAACGGAATTAATGATGCTTTCGACTTATCCATATGGATATATATATATATATATATATATATATATATATATATATATATATATATATATATATATATATATATATATATATATATATCCATATGGATATATATCACCCGAATATTCATAAAATACTGAATAGAGCTGATTATTACATCGACATTAGTCTAGCTGAAGCTGAATGAAGCAATTTTATAATCTGTTGGAGAAACCATTACCTACAATTTGTGTGATACTTGTGTATCATACAAATTTAGATGGTATTGGTCATAAGTCCAAAAACGAATAATTCCTTTTGTTAGTAAAATATGATAAATTTTACTGCTTTTTCTCTTAGGATTGAGCATCATAGCCTCAGGAAATATCTCATTGACATGGTAATTGTTTTTAGTATAAAAATAATGTAATCCACGTGTATTACATATTCTACAGTATATAATGGTTTGTCAATAGAAAAAGATAAGAGTACATTCACAAAGATAAATCATTTATATCAAACAGTAACAATGTTCGGTGGTTATTCTGACTTAGAGTTACCCTGCTTACAGTATCACGGTGATTCGCGAGTTTAGGAAGAAAGTGTGAAAAAGCCGCTTAAAAAGTTAATGTTTGTTACATTCATTGAATTGACTTTACAGTTCAGATTGACAACATCCTAATGCTCATTACGTAAACAGTCTTTTGTATAAATTTAATGGGGCAGATAGTTGTCAAGATGTGAAATGCTTAAAAGCTATATTTAGTTATTTAACAATGGCTACAGAGGAAAAGTAACCTAGACTCATCTAAAATCACGAGGTGAACTGTATTTTCGAAAGCCTTAACTAGCTACAAAATATGCTGTCTGTGTATTTGTGAGCATCGATTTTCGGGATTTTTTAAATGGGTTCAATAAAATCAATCTATATATGCCACAGGTATTCGGAGTATGAAAACGCTTTTACATGTAACACCGTTATGACCGAAATATACCAACCCAAGAAAATCAGAAGTCAGAAGTAAAGTTTTGTTCCGTGAACAATTCGCGCTGCAGTGCATTCAACGTCAGCTTTCATCGCATTGCGAACACCGGGTAACAATAGTTGACGAGCGTCAGTCGACTTTCATTTGTTAGCATATGAGAGTGAAGCTTTCAGCTCTAGGTGACATCGTTCTGACAATTCGTTAGCTTGTCAGTGGTGTGTGGTCGAAGGCGTTGGCCACAGTTTTAGCAGTAATGTCTTTGGTGGATACTAATTTTGGCCATCGTGTGAAATGGTCTGCACACCTCAAGAGATACGAGTATTTATTTGAGTCCGGTAATGGTCCTAAAAAACTAAGGCTAACATGGTCGTAACAAGCATCAGGTGTTGCGAAGCGTTAAAGAGAAGATTATTGTGCCTAATCACCTTAAATTTTTCGCAACCTACACAGGGGCATGCCTATTCCCTCACGTGTTCATCCATACTGGTTCAGAAAATTCGTTCTGCTATGAGCATGATGGTTGCTTGGATGTATATATGCGAAATCCAGTGCAATATATTGCGGGCATTGTGTCGACAATGTTTCGACATTGCGTGCTAATTAAAAGGACAATTGTATTTTTCCTCACTGAGTAAATTATATTGTTTTGATCGTTTGCTACGTATCAAGACTACTGTTTTCACTTTAATTGAATTTATTTCAGTTAAAGTATTCGATTACAGCATCGTTTCTGTTTCCAAATTAGTTTGTCGTCAGTGTTTCAAAAAATGAAGTGATTTTGTAGTTGTTGTGATTATTCTTGCTTTTGTGTAATTATTGCATCAAAAGCATTCTTGGTCCAAATCAAAGTACTTTAGTTAAGGTTTGAAATCTTGCTGAATTTTGCCTTCTGGTACCCTTTTGCTCGTTGACTGACATTGTGTTCATATTGTGTTTTACACCTTAATCTGACTAGAAAGGTTGTTAGTACTCATAAATGTGGACAACCAAACTGTTTGTTCCTTGTGGAGGAAGCAATCAATGTGATGAATTCAAAAAGGGGTTCCAAAAGATATGCACCCGCTTAAGTATCACTGCATAAAAAAGATGTTCGAAGCCTAACTCACATTGGCTCTGCATGTTTTGCTGCTCAAATAAGACGTTACTAATACAGGAGGCTATGAGCCTATTGGCTTTGGCCTGTAAGAAGAACGATAGCGCATGCGCTGATAACACGAGCACTGACAATGACAAATGTGTCAATGTAGTACGTGCTGTTACGAGACGCCTTAAACAACCGTCTTTGACTGACGGAAAATGAAATCTCCATTATCATTAACGAGGGGGGGGGTAGTACTACCTAACGCTGACATTAGTTACCATGCACCTCTATTGGAACCTGGAGATCTGCATAAAACCGTCACCGCTCAAATTAGTCCCAGTGTCCTGAGGGGTGAAAAATGGACTACAGTACGGAGTAAGCGAAACGAAAAAAAAGAAGCTGTAGGCAGTACGCAGGTGGTTAGCAAGTCACTGGTGGACTCCATTGTGAGTCACAAAATGCACTACCAAAATCTGATAGTAAGAGAGAAACCCACCCTAGCGTGACTGAGAAGAAGAATCTAATATCATCGAATGTTATTGTGAGCAAATTGCCGGGGTCAAACGACCCTGATCCAAAATTAGACCCACGCATTATTTGGAGAAGCTGGGAGAATATATTCGTAGTACCTTACCAGATAACTCTAAAGGGGTTAAGGTAAAAAAACTGGTTAGAATAGGCAAGAGGAACCCCGACCTTGCAGACTCCTTAAGGTAATCCTAGGATCGAAGCGACAACGGGATCTTCTGTTAGGTAGTGCTCGTTGTCACGACAATTCCAACATCCAAGTTAGACCTGTTATGTCTCTCGAGGATAGAATAAAAAGGAAGAGAGCACTAGCTGAACTTGAAACCCGTCGGCAAAACGGTGTTAAGCATCCAATCCAAGGTGCTCCAAGAATATTACATCTATATATTAGTCTTCCCAAAAGTGAATGCGAGTGAAATCAATTATCGTCATAAAAAAATCTCCAGGGAAATCAAAATTAATTGAATAAAACAACAACGAAACGTAGAAAAATTGGACATCACAAAGAGACAAAGAAAAATTTATAAAGTTCAGCTTTAAAGATGGAGATATATCTAACTCTTAGTGTCATATTCTTTGCGTCGCAGCACATCATTCGTCAACCATGAATAAACTCATGGCTGGCTAACCAATGGGATTTCAAAAACACGAAACATAGATCATGAGCCAAATAATATGTCCCGGTCACAACTTGCTCGTTTGTTCCCTTTCTAGCAAGTTGAATTTTCTCGTATACTATAAGTCATCTTTCTGTTTGCAATATCTATCGAACAAGAGTTTAAGAAGTTAGAAGTAAAAAATATTGAATACTGAAAATTAATCTCTAGGGCTATTCCGACAGCACAATCAAAACAACTGATTGTGAAAGTACGCTTACACGATGGCAACCACAGGTATCCTTCATGCTTGACTACTTATCCTGAGAAATTAGATTTCATGAGTAGGGGGTGAATACGTACATAACAACCACACCACCTGTGTTGCGTATCTGTAAAGATAGTCTCAGGTTGTCTAGGGCTTATGGGGTGAGATGGTTATTCTACTGATTTTCCAAGACTTATAGGCGGAATATGCAATTTCCTACAAACGATTTCATCTAGCTGTAAGCACTATATGTTTAAGGGGACCCACAAACAAAAACATTAGTTATATCTAAGGTCTTGTAGCGTCGGTTATTATGTTAAGCCCATACACCTTATTCTATGTTTAGTTTTACAATCGGTCAGATAAAAGTGATAGTAAAAATAGGCAGTATTCTCCACTTCATCAAAAACATCTAGTAAGACAGTTAACGACGTCTATATAAAGGGTGATTATTGTTTTATGATTTAAGCAGTTGTTGGTTATAGTAATCTCTTAGTGATCAAGGACAGGTTTGAATTTATTTTGTCCACGACATTAATTTTTTTTGCTGGACGATCTAGCGGCTTATAAAGTGTATTTTTCACTCTTCGGCATCCACTATTTCGTATTCTATCATATCATCCTACAACCTGCCTAATAAAGAGAGGGTTCTGTCGATTCCGATAACCTGCATATAGTTACGCCAGAATTCCTTTGTTATTCGCTATTCAACCATGTGGAACAGACTCCCAGTAAATCTCTGTCGCGGTGAAACTATAACCCGGTTCAAAAGTCTTCTTGATGACTTTCCTTCCGAAAGTGGTTTGTCACCTATCAACTATCAGTGTGATTACCAGTGAGCTATACAAACAAGGTCCGATATCTATCTAATTGACAGTAAAACAAAGTAGAATTTTTGAGATTTTTCCGTTTATTTTACTTCCTTCCTTTTCATACAAATTGATTATATCTCACAATTAATTGGCACTATCATATCATCATTCTAAAATACTACTGTATAAACTTTGATACTAATGTCAAGTTTTACTTTAAATCGTATTACATCAATTTACTT